CACACACACACACACACACACACACACACACACACACACACACACACACACACACACACACACAAAATATGCATGAGAGCACTTTATGGCGGCCACTATTCGCGACTGCACACACACACACACACACACACACACACACACACACACACACACACACACAGAAAATATGCATGAGAGCACTTTATGGCGGCGACTATGCGCGACTGCACTGTTTGAGGGCTCCTTCAATGTTCAACACGCATTGTACCTGCAACAGACACACATGAAAAAAAAGCATTCTTCTTGGTTAACAGTCCAAAGAGAGAATAGCTTTTTACCCTAAGGAATCAACAAACTGCACTGATTCATATTTATTTATCTAAAAGACTAAAAGCAATATATGTTTCGTACACCTCTTATGATTGCCATTCTCCTTCCTCCCCCCCCGCGCCCCTCTGCGCCCCCCCCCCTTCCTTCTCTGAATGACTGCCATTTCACATAAGGTCGAACAGCTTCCTCTAGAAACCCAATTCACAAAACATGTGTCATTTTGAGTGTTACTTGGAATACCATTAGTTGCACACTTGATCTTGGAGAGAGGACATTCATGAGTTTGCAAAGTCCGACATGGGCCGAAACCATTAGGGTTAGGGTCTTCCATTGAAGGCAACGCACACTGATCACCAACGTATACAAGCCATCTTTCCGGTCCAATACAGTCATGACAAGCAAGCATTCTGTTGACCGCAAAATGGTTGGGAAAAAAAAAAAAAAAAAAAAGCCCTATCACGGGGTGCAGGATTTGTCAGCCTCCTACGTTTGAATCAGAAATCCAGCAAACATTTTTTATTTTTTTTCCCCCCAGCAAACATTTTACTTACAGCGAGTTTCGAAACAGGCACTGTGCGTCGAGGCACGCTGCCCTAACATACTGGTCCTCCCATGCCCTGGTGTTATGTGCGCCTGTGACAGCCAGGTCGATCCAAATGTACATGGACAGGAATCGGGATAGGAACATTCTTTCGGATTATTATTGTCACCGCGGATATCACAGAGGTTGCGGCAGAAATGTGTTTTCCGCTTCAGGAAAATAGAAACACTCACAGCCATAAGCTGCACGCCATCTGCCATGCCTGTCACACTATAGTGTGACACTGCACTTGACACACTCACTGCATGCTGATGTCACACTCGTCATGCTTGTTATTTGTCACACTAGTCACTCGTCACAGACCTGACCTTTCTTTGTTCCGTGGTTGTTTCGCTGTCTTGTGATAGGGTGTGAATCTGCAGTTCTATAGATATATAAGGGTTCAGCCTCCTGATGAGTTGGCAAAACTCTGGCGAAACAGTTTGTCACAGCCCCTCGTTTGTTGTCCTCCTCTCCCTTTCTGCCTATATGGTTTACCGGCCATATATCGTCAAATATATATATCGTCAAATAGAACTGCCCGGTAAACCGTAGGCAGAGAGGGAGAAGAGGACAACAAACAAGGGGCTGTGACAAACTGTTTCGTTGGAGTTTCACCGACTCATCAGGAGGCTGAACCCTATATATATCGTCAAACAGGATTGCCTACGGTAAACCGTAGGCAGAGAGGGAAAAGGGAGAAGAGGACAAGAAACGAGGGGCTGTGACAAGCTGTTTCGTCGCGATTCTGCAGACTGTTGAGGGTTCAGTCTCCTGACGAGTCGGTGAAACTCCGACGAAACAGTTTGTCACAGCCCCTCGTTTGTTGTCTCTTCTCCCTCTCTACCTACGGTTGGCCAGGCAGCACCAACCACTGCGCTCAAGGTACCTGCGATGAAAATCAAAGCAGACTAGCACTCACCCACACCAGATGGAAAACTCTACAGACTGTCGGTTCACACCCCATCACAAGCAAGCAAAACACCCACGGAACAAAGAAAGGTCTATCACAGCCAGAAAATACACTCCAGACACGCCGCTGGCACTAGAGGCACAGCACGGCCGGGTAGTGACATATATATTGTCACAGAACTATTGACTACGAGTGCAAACACGTGAAGTAGAAGAAGAAATACGATGAGCGAAGAAAAGAAAAAATGGAAGGACAGACAGGCAAAGAGACAGACAAACCAGAAAGACAGAACGCAGTGTCTTCTTCTTCTTTGTTTTAGTGTATTTTTATTTCTTTCAGTGTTTTATATTTCTTTTACACTGAACAAAGGATAAAAATAAAACAACAAAGACACATTGAAATCATTCAATCTCTCAGTCTTCTCAACTCCTCCACTGTGCCTCTCGCGTGCAAGGCTCGCGACGTTGATGAAGTTCAGCGCGAGCTGCCTATATAGTAGACGACCTGTTGTGACTTCGCTCACAAAAACATTTATGATGGATGGTGCATTCATGGTGGACGCTCTCTCTCTCTCTCTCTCTCTCTCTCTCTCTCTCTCTCTCTCTCTCTCTCTCTCTCTCTCTCTCTCTCTCTCTCTCTCGCACGGGCTGGGGGGGGAGGGGGCACCTATTTCTGTCACACCTGTCTCTCTCTCTC